GTGTCAAGTAAGTCATGAAACAGACACTAAAAATTGAATATCTCCATTACGGCTCGAGCAAACTAGGTGATTTTCTTACCAAACATAGAGGCATGTTCACACTTCAAATCCGTATCGGTGAGATTAGTGAGAACTTATGGTGAGCATATTGTTTTCTTTTCCTATCTGTGAACAAGTAAAATTTTCTTGCTAAGGTCAATCGTGATATTTAACAAAGGTTCTCACTGACCTTGTCCGTATGAATTTATAGTGTGAATATACCTTTATCCTTGGTAAAAAATGAGCCCGTTTGATCGAGCTATAATGGAGACATTCAATTTTTAGTGTGTCTGTTCCATGACTTACTGGACACCCTATAGGTATAAAGTGAATCAAATTTTGCAAGATGCAAAGTTTAGTAGGATAGAAAATGATGAATCAGCCAAAGAAGAAAAACAAATTATTAGTAGACTGCTCAAATTATTGAAAGATAAGAAAATTATAAGAAAAGAATATGATGAATTATTTGTCTCAGATAGTTCGGTTCCAGTACTTTGTTATACAGAGAAGGTACATAAACCAACTTTCCATTAAGAACAATAATTGCAATATATAATGATCAAAATTATAAACTTGCACCATTTCTTGCTAATATGATAAAGAAGTATGAGAAAGAAAGTCTTTTCATATGTTAAGGACTCATTTCAATTTGTCAAAATTATGAAGAAAACATTAATGAAGAACAACGAATTAACGATTAGCATTGATACAGAATCGTTATATCCAAATGTATCTCCCATTGAAGCCATACAATTAGCTGTCAATCTTATATGAGATAGTAATAAGCTTCATAAATTCACAAAGATTACAATAATTGAATTATTTATACTAGTTAATCTGGTAGTTAGAGGTTTATATTTTCGGCAGACTGATGAAGGGACCATGGGCTGGGTGTGGGTGCGGGGTGTGGGTCTTCTCCGAATCCATGCCAATCCCCACACCCTAACCTATCTTCCAAGCAACGTAGGTCTAAAGTATGACTATTTTCTCTATAGATTCGTTCAACTCTGTGATTAAACGCGTTTTTATGCGTTGAAAAGCGTTAAAATGTGCTCTTTTTCAGTTGTTTTACGCGTTAATTTTTTTTACCGTTTTTACGTGTTAGTTTTTTGGATTTGTCTGACTGGGTGTGAATCTAAACTCTATTTCAAAGAGGGCCATGCCTACAAAGTTCTACTAGTCTTGACAATTTGAGGTCATTTGACGTTTGTTAGCGCTTTTATAGTTGAGTTTTCATGAAAATATACATATTCAAAGTCGTACACAAGAATTTATCCCGACTACGATCTGGAAAAATGTCAGTTTACTCGCGAAACCTCTCATACGTACCTATCCAACCAAAAAAATGGCATGAAGGGACGATTCGTCACTGGCACAACATGCTGTAATTTCCTCTTGACGGCAAAAACTTTAGACAATCCTTCTTACACGACGAACTTCGGCATTGAACAAACATTTTGCTAGATTATTTTTCTTTCAGTAAAAAAAAAGACAGTGACGAAGTTATACAGTTTTCAGCCACAGATTTTCTCTGAAGATAAGTACATTATTGCATTGAAAAGTCGATGACAGCTCTGCCGCTAATTTTATTGTTAAGCATATCATCGAAGATTTGATTGATTTCTTCTAATTTGTGCTTTGCCACTTTGCAGGTAATCTTACGTAATTTGGCCAATTCCAATGCTTCTTGTAAGTCTTTACGTGTGCCAACAGTGGTACCAATCAGTTTGATTTCACGCAAAATAAAATCAATGGTCGATATAGACATTTTCTCGGCGGGCAATCCAATAGCTACGATACGACCACCACGTTTCACCGACTTCAATGCTTCCTCATAGGCTTGAATGAGAGGAACAGTAATGATTGCTGCTTGAACACCATCCACTTTTTGTCGAACCCATTTACCATGCTGATCACTTGGACCATCATAAACTAAACAATCAAATAAAAATAGAAATTCGATTTCTGATGAAGCTACTGTGAACTGTATGGACCCGTCAATATTGAACACTTCACAATTCATTCAATTCTTTTATGCTGATGATTGAATCTATTCGGAGTAAAAAGACGGTTCGAAGAGATCAATGCACGTTTCGAACCCCAAATCGGATATTCTAGTTACTGAACAAGTTCATTACAATTCTAGTTCATACTTGCCTTCTTCGGCACCCATCGCTTTGGACAATTCCACAGCAGCCTACAAAATTGGCAATAATGAGTTGACAAATACTGAATTATATTACAAAACTTCTCGACTCATAGTACATTAGAATCTTACTTTGTCATTTGGAGCCACAACAGTCAACACTCGCATTCCCATAGCCACGGCATATCTCACGGCGATAGATCCTAAACGAAAATCGCACTCAATCTCATTGTCCTCGGTAAATGAAATGGAATATATTTTACCAAGACCACCTACACCTACAATCGACACCCATTCGCCAGCTCGAACCTTAGACACTTTTAGAGCTTTGTATGTAGTGACACCCGCACAATAGAGCGGTGCGGATGTATACGGATCCATACCATCAGGAAGTTTGACAGCAAAATCAGCATCCATCAGAACATATTCTGCAAAACCGCCATCCATTGAGAAACCAGAATTTTGTTGCTGTTTACAAAGTGTTTCTCGTCCTGTCAGACAATATTCACAATGCAGACAGGTTTTGTGTAACCATTGCACACCGATAATATTTCCTTTTTTCAGGTGATCACGAACATTCGAGCCCAACTCGACGATCTCACCAATTCCTTCATGACCTAAGATTCGAGGTAACTGAGGTCGTCCAGGAAAATCTTTAAAAAAAAACATGGACACTAGAATATATTTTGCAGTCAACAGAACGATGATCATACCTACCTCCTTTCGCTATGTGCAAATCCGAGTGGCATACACCACAAGCAATATTCTTAACTAAAACATCATTGGGACCTGGTTTGGGAGTCTCGACTTCTTTGATTTTCAGAGGTTCCGAGAAACTTGTCAACACAGCAGCTTTCATCGTCTGCGGCACTGTATGAAAGAGCTTGCCAGAGCAGCTCTTAATAAGGCTAAAATATGGAACTTACATAAACATAAGCTACTAAAAAAAGCAGAGCGAAAGCCCTGAATATCAAAATTCATCATTGCGCTCTACGGAAGAAGCGAATTCTCTGAATGGGTTTGGTTCGCTCGTTCCTTGATAGAGACCACAACTGAGAATAATAAACCAATGTTCAACTGATATTATTCTAAAATGAACAGTATCTGCAAAGATCTGCAATGAAATACGATGATAGCATACCACTGGTATTGGCATTGTCGGAAATGTAATCAGATATCTTCGACATTCGATGAATTCTACCGCTATTTATTTATCATGTGAATTTTTTTTATAGTCAGTTACGCAAATTTTGTGAAGAATGACGATTGACATGCGTCTTTTTCACTCGGTTAGGTAGAGATTGCTGAAGGATTTTTCTTACATTAGACAGCATAATATTGATTTGTACATATCTTACTATCTCGAAGAGTCAAACATCCATTTTTCTTATCGGTTCGACTATGTAATTTTGCATGAGTAAGAGGAAAACTGAGAGCCCGAGTATTCCAAAGGTACGCAGAGAGATTGACCTACATATGAATTGTCTGAAGGACAGATAAAATTGAAGATGTACATGATAGAGCAGATAAGGTATATACTACGGACAATTGATAGGTCTTTCCCAATGGTTTGAGCCAATACTGATTGTCGGAACATGCAGCCTATACTCTCATGCACCAAATATACGCAAATTCTCTCAAACCTCGTATTTACTTCTATGTTGAATATTCAGGGTCATGATGAAGCAGTCGTCGATCATCATTCATGCCTTTTGGATATCTCGACAAGCCTATAAATATCTGTGGATATCGTGAAATAGCGATTCTAATAGAAATCCGATAGAATACAATAGGATTTCTGTCTGCGTTGAATATGGTGTGGTACCTGATCGTCCTGAATTCGGTACGATCCGCTTTATGTAACTACATGAAAAAAATTCTAATTGAGCAAACAGTTTAGAAATCAAGCTAATAAATGCCCGATTATGACGTGAAAAGCGAAGGTCATATTTTCACCATAGATGTAGACGCACGTAAACGAGACTATTTACAATCTTAAGCAATTGTTGCCCCACTCGATGGGAGTATTGGTCATCAATATTTTTCTCGTCCCCTTCAAAAAATTCGGATAAAGTAAGATTTTGTGCAAATTTTCTTTCATTTTGCACAAGAGTACATCGCATGTTATCTTGACCTTTTTTTAATGTCTGACATCAGATCAGCATGAGACAGTGCAGTATAATATACACTAAAATAAAATTTTTCACATTGTGTATCGCATATGGCGCAACGATCACCTCGTATCATATTTCTTGTGTTCTTCGCTATAAACATCCAGCAGAGAACGCAAGAAATACGACACGAGGTGCTCGTTGCGACACATGCAACACATTTTATGTTAGAGTGTATCAGTATTGCAAATACTTCAGAGAAAATTCGAATCAATTTATAATGGCAGTTGGTTATGTGATTCAATAAAACCAAAATCGCAGAGATATTTCATGACGAATTGATTATATTGATGTATTTTTGAGTAGTTAAATTAAGCACTACTTACGATAAAGAACCCCGTGTTAAGAGCATCTGAAAGCAAATGTGATTGTGCATCGAATGAGAGGAAAGAAAAGAACACAAGCATGTGTCAAGGTCTTCTTTTCTCTCTTCGTATCGTTCTACTTTCATGATAATATTGAGTTATAGAGTCGAAAGATTTAAATGCACACAAATTTTTGTGAAGCTGAAAAGAATAGCTGATATCTTTATCATTTTACAAGATATCGAAAAATTTTTTCACCAACAAGGTAGAGAAATCATTTTTCTACAATTCTATGTTTTCATATTTTAAAAATCTCGTTGCGGCACGAACTTATTGTGCCAATGAGCATATTATCGTATGTGATATCTTTTCTTTCTTAGTGTGTTCTTATACAGTCAGTGATACTCAGTGTTGACACTCGCGTCACTTTTACGTTCATCTATGCATGATTGAGCCTTATTCTCTTACTTTCGTAATGTGCTTCTCATTCTATATCATCATTTACTCGTATATTATATGCATTGTTCTCACCTATCTATTCTTACGCTATGTTCTTACTCTACTATTCTGCTATATGTATTCTCTCCTTGGCCTCATCTTCTTTTTTTTTCATCCTCTCTTATTCGACTCGTGTATATAAGTGTGTGCTTTATATGTAAACGGTACGATTGTATGATATGAGGAAATAGAATAAAGTATATCACCAATCACACTAATATCCCTTGTATCATTGATTGTCACATTTACACTACTTTTCTCCGAAATCCTCAACGTCTTTTACATTCACTCCACGTCGGATAAATGTAAACTTTGGCTATCTTCGTTGAGATCAATATAAACTTCCAGCTATTTCCTATGGAACCAGTGGAGCTCAATTTCTCAGGAGATTGTGCGTTATATTTCGATCAAAATAACACCACTGGATAGCTCATTCTTTTCGCTACAATCGTGCAAAGTGGGAAGCCAGGCGGACACATGCGAAAATATTCTTTTTCAGAATCTAACCATTTGCGTAGATACATATGTAATCTATCATTTCCTATAATAGCAGTTCTCAAAGTTTTATAGAGCCCAAGAAAAGAGTCTGCCGAGACTTGGGTCCAGAAATCAGCATAAATAAAGAAAGTCAAGCCGCTCGGCATTGTAACACAATATTCCACGAGCAAATAATATCGCAAGAAACTTGCTCACCTATGGGCTTTATGGTAAAAAAAAAAATCGTAATCCAATTTAAAATAGAGTAGAAAACAAAGAGTCTCTATGCCGAAAATCCATCGTTCCGTATATTAAAAACCCTATAGAGGGATCACGTCTGATCAAGCGCGCATTTTTACCACATATACATACATATGCATCCTAACTACTGTAGTAGCGTCAACTCATGAAACTTTTTCCAGACTATTTTAGAGGATGCCCAAAAATCCGAGATCTCCAGGTGGAAATTCGATTTTAGGGTGTGAGATGTGAAGTGTGGGTATGGGTGTGAGTGTGTGGGTGTGGGATGCGGAATGTAAGTGTGGGATGTGGAGCGTGGGTATGAGTGTGTGGTTGTGGCGGGTGTGGATGTGGATGTGAGTAAAGAAAAAAACAACATCTGCACCCACCCACTTGCACCTACCCACACCCACACCCATTGTTATTTAGTAATGCAGTCTCATATGAAATAAGTGTAGTTGCTTTCAGCGAATGTGGTGTTTGTAAAGAATGATTCACAGATTAGAGTATGAAAATGGGATGAAAAGAAATAAACTCGACTGTTTTACTGTTGTGGATGATTGTGTTGATTGCTTTATCTTTCCTGCTTTGTTTGGAGTTTTATGGTTGCTAATACACATCTTATGACTCACAGTCACTACTTGCAAAAACAATGACTAGTCGTTGCTATGTGAAGAAAGGAAAGTGAAGAAACAAATGCTTGCGGAACCAGCATGAGTATGTTGAGTGAATTCAAAAATGATTTCGAAAAAACGCAAATGGTATTCTAAGATTCTTCGCACCAAAAAAGTCCAAAGATAAGGCAAACAAAGTATGAAACTACAACACCTTCGATTGAGAATAAAACACAACATTTCGTTGCCTAGTTGCTCCACAACAATCGAGCAGGCTAACTGTTATAATTTATCTGTTCTTTTACCACATGTTTTTGTCGCTCGTTTTATTTTTACTTCTTTCCAAGCAAACGCAAGAGAAAAAGAAACAGACATTACTCGGAAGCGAAAAAATTCACCAGAATATAATCGTTTTACTTTGCTTTATATGAAACGAATCTATGGCAACTACGACTATGAGTGAACGTTTTCTTGATGCTGATGAAGAGCCGTTAGATACGTTAACAACATCACTTCCTAACAAAATTTATGAAGAACAACCATTAGTTTCACTTCAAGCAGCTATCGAACCTTTAAAAAATTCTGTAAAGAACCTTGATAAAATAGTAGAGAGGGTAAGGCAAAAGCCTTCCAATCGATCGACTACTCTTACCAAAGATGAGGCAGCTGCTATTCGACTCTATACAAACAGACTACAGAAACCTGATAAAAGTGTCTCCATTCAACTGAATCGAGCACTTCGCTCTCAGGCTCCAGACCAAGTGAAACCATGGTTACCTTATATCAAGCTCTTTCTTTCTGCTCTCCACAAGGTACCCCAATTCAAAGGCAAAATATATCGTGTCGTTCAAGGCAACAGCAGTGATCGATATCAGCGTAAATGTATCTGGTGGGGTTTTAGTTCTTGCACAAGCTCTAGTAAAGTGCTGAAAAAATTTCATGATAAATCATCCCTGCTTACAGTATTCGAGATTACATGTATTAATGGCAAAAACATCTGCGATTATTCTGACACTCGAGACGAGAATGAAGTTCTTCTTATACCTGGTACATGTTTACTTGTCACAGGCAAAAGTATAACAGATAAAGGAAACTATGTGATTCGTTTACAAGAAGAACCTAGTGAAAATCTTCTTCTAAACTCTCTTATTGATAATCCATCTTCGATGGTTGACATATCTCCAACAAGCCAAGTCTCTAATGCAAGTGCAATTCGATCAACTACTCAAATCCTGTCGGCCAAATTACTTAGTGAGATCATTTTTATTTTAAGTTATATATTTTGGGAGTCTATGTCGTCAATCCATGCAGAACTGAATGTTGAGATTGTTAGCATGCACATCTGTTTTCAGACTTTTCTATAGAAGTTGAAAGAATAGGCAAGTCTAAAAATCTCAAGATAGTCAAAAACGCGTGGGAATGTATTTCTAAGTGAGTTCCCGTTCTCAGGAGTCCGAGAACTCATAGTGACTTGATCTGAACTGAAAGAATATGTATATCTAGAAATCTCAAGGTGGGCAAAAGTGCATGGAGACGATTTTCCAAGTGTTCATGTTCCTTAGGAACAGAACTGAAGGAAGCGGAAACTCTGATACCCTTATTATTGTTTACTTGTATAGTAAAAGTTCAATGCAATTGTTATTGTGGATACGGATGCGGATGAAAAGTAGAGAGTCACATTCATTCATATACGCGCATCCACATTTTCAAAAGAAAATATTGGTTTGTCTTTAGAGAAGCCTTGGCTAGATTTTAACTGGCGTTCGAATGATGAACAATCGATTATGACTCCAGAAGATCTAGAAAGCCTCCTGGGCGATCCCCCAATAAATGTCGACAACGCTATATTAGATTGTGTCCAAGGGTCCATGGTTGGTATGGCTTTGGGTGATGCACTCGGTGCCCATGTCGAATTTCGACCTCGACAATATCTCATTGAGCATCCAGTACAAGACCTTACAGGTGGAGGAACATGGGGACTGAAAAAAGGACAGGTAAAATATCTTCTGTTTATTAAAACATGCTTTGAATATCATCTCTATGGGAATGAAATGCGAAACATGATGGAACGACTCCACTGGTAAATGAGAATTCTAGGCACAGAGATGACTATTTCTGAAGAATAGATAAACAAGTACATCGAAATATTTATCACATTCTGTGATTCTAGGAAGCTTTCTTCATTTCCTCTGTCTATTGCGTGTTTGTGGAGCAGATCGAGTGGTGGTATATCGATGTATTCCCGATATACTCGAACACCCGTATTCAACCGAATTCTCAGCATGTACAGGCCTTATCCCGTCACTTTTAGATCATGATCGCACTAAGCTTTAAAATTTTTTTGAGTCTACTCAACTATAGATTCTCGTAAAAGTGACACTAATATTGAAAGTTAAGCGTCGATCTTCAATATTTTCAAACCGCTTGATGCATACACTTTATTTTATAAATTAGTATCGATGTTAGGAGTGATTTAAATTAGAAATGAGTACAGTATAACTTTCTCTGTTCTTTTCTGTTCTACAGCTGACTTCGGCCTCTCGAACCACATAATAAGAAATAAGGCAGGACAAAACCTATACCTTAAATTTTCGGTTAATTCAAACAGATAATAAATTTCTCAGTCATTTTACACGACACATATGTTTCATAATTTTTTCAAACATCAAAACTTCTCTCTTGAATAATAGTTAATTCAGCAAACATAAAAAAGAAGCACAAAAAGCTATTATTTTATTAACAAATATATCTTAGCCTAACAAAAAATACACATAAAACAAGATCCAGATATAAGAGTATGAATGTAGAGCCCACACACATACCCACATTCTCAAGTAGCATCTTTATTTTCATATCGTCTAAAAATATTATCGATGGGTATCTAAATATATCTAATTATGATTCTGTTTTGTTTCTATCCTACTTCAAAGAGTAGATTTAGTTGAGGATTGTTTGGAAACGAAATTAAGCAAGGAGGAAAACAGTACTTCAGTCTACGCTCACCTTTTGACTTACTGTTCATATAAAGTGCACTTTCAATAAGCACCAGACGTGAATAATGGAATTTTTTCTGATAAATACGTATTTAGTTTACGGACGATACCTCTATGGCTCTTTGTTTGGCAAGTTCATTGGTAAAGTATGGTGACTTCATTCCCTATGATCAATTAGTTCGCTACAAGTGGTGGTACAAATATGGTTACATGTCCTCTACTGGGCAATGTTTCGATATCGGTGCGGCCACCAGCCAGTCGTTACACGAATTCGAACGTCGTCAAAAAAAATTTGCTGCCGAACATCATATTCGGCTTGAGCATTTAGATCATATATCAGATCCTCATCTAGTAGACAAATTCGACGTATTTTGTAGTGAAGACGGAGTAGCGGGTAATGGAGCTCTGATGCGATTGGCACCCGTACCTCTTTTCTTCTATAAACATCCTGTCTACGCCGTCTTCTTTTCTGGTCTCAGTGGCATTACTACTCATGGTGATCGCAAAGCATATGATGCCTGTCGATATTATGGTGCCTTGATCGTTGCTGCTCTTCGAAAAGAAAAAAAAGAAGATTTACTGCATGGAGAGTTTTATTCCAAGCATGAGTCATGGTTTAATAACGATCCACTTACTCCAGAAGTCATCAAAATTGCCAAAGGATCGTATAAGAGAGACAGGGGGTATGATGCCGGTATCCGAGGTAACGGATATATTATTAATGCTCTCGAAGCTGCTTTGTGGGCTCTTTGGTCTGATAATGACTCTTTTGAAACCGGTGCTCTCAATGCTGTTAATCTGGGCGATGATACGGACACCACTGCTGCTATCTATGGTCAATTGGCTGGCGTTCTCTACGGTTTTAAAAATCTACCCCAGAAGTGGGTAAAACACGTCTATGCGCACAGATTTATTAGCTGCTTAAGCAAATGGATTACTTATGAAGGGGAACTGTGGCAACCAAAGTCACATATTTCTCATATTCAATTGCCTGCTTATCTATTCAATCCGAATATTGTCATCGATTCACCACCAGATGAAGAGCCAAGGGTGAACTCGACACTAACGCCAGAAGAGGAACCAGCTTCTGCATCTAAAAAGCCTCCTAATGGCACATTTCCCACAAAAGAAAAATTACATTCCTTTGGCGAAAACTCCAAGAAAGACAATATGGGAACAAGATCACAAATAAGATCGGCAAGACCTACATCAGCAACAGAGCTTAGCCAGAAGAGCCCCAACTACCCAGCTAAAACACCTCTTCGAAATATTTCTCGTTCGGACCGTGGGTCACGGAAAGAATCGCAACGAATGCACACAAACTCGAAGCAAGATCCTGATCCTTATCGTCCTCCAAAAAGCTAAATAATGTGTCACTGTGATCGATAACACCAAGTATATCCTGAACGAGATTTAGCATCCGTATCGTCATAAATTTAAATTGTCATTAAAAAAATGCCTTGTGCTTTCCATCAAAATGAATTGTCCTGCTTATTTTTCAGAGGTGCTCGATTCTTATAGACTCTTGAGTCATTTGTGATCAAGAATTCATCATTCAATTGAGTAATACTGTGATATCTATGAAGCAACTGTCGTTAACTTTCAGATGAGTCATCATCACAGTCTTTTCCGGAAGTACAGTGACATGCTTTTCTAGTCTCTCACAACTAGTTGAACGCAACGCAGTTGAGAACAATTCAGGATGAGGAAAAGAAAATGTTTTATGTTCCATCGTATGTGAAGATGTAATTAAGGGTGGGTGTGGGTGTGTGTGTGGGCCGGGTGTGGGTGAGTGTGGGTGCGGGTCCAGTTCTCCACTTAAGCCACACCCACCCACACACCCACATCCCACTCACACATCCACGTCCCACCCACACCCCACACCCACACCCACACCCAGCCACCCACACCCACACCCCATCCACACCCACACCCCATCCACACCCACACCCACACCCACACCCACACCCCATCCACACCCACACCCACACCCCATCCACACCCACACCCGCAAAATACAGCGGTTTAAAAATAATACGGACAAGGTTAGTGAGAACCTTTGCTAAGTATCACTATTGGCCTCAACAAGAAAATTTTACTTGGTCACAAATAAGAAAAGAAAACAACATACTTATCATAGATTCACACTAATCTCATCCATATGGATTTGGAGTGTGAGCATGCCTTTATCTTTAGTAAAAAAAATCAACTTGTGTGCTGAAGCCGTAATGGAGATATTCAATTTTGTTTTCCGATAAAGTGACTTTTGTACGATCCTGTATATTGTTTTTTGTCTATTTGTGACCAAGTAAAATTTTCTTGTTGAGGCCAATAGTGATATTTAACAAAGGTTCTCACTAACCTTGTCTGTATTATTTTTAAACCGCTGTATTTTGTCAACAAAAATAACATAAGTTTAAAAAATAAAAATTGTCACAATAAAAAGTTATAATGAAAAACAATTGTTGTATACCTTTCTGGTCACTCTGTACTTCGCATAGTTGATGACTTTGATCATAATATTCGATCATTTTCATTTGTAACTTCTTCTAACATAATGCATGATTGGTTCACGTTTTTATTTGTTCATAAAAACTATTGAACTGCAAAAATATAATATTTGAATGAAGCCGAAAATCCTTCATCAGAGACATCATTGCAATTTCTTTCCTTTAAAAAATATTGACCAGGTATCTTTGCCATAGCCTTTGCTCATCGACTGAAATGAATGAGATGTAGCATCTGGCACTTTCTTGCCGAAATAATACACATTCCATGTATCTTTGGCATAACCAGTGTAGGGCTGAAGTACTTCAAATGAACGAGGTGTAGCATCTGGCACTTTCTTGCCAAGATAACACACATTCCACGTATCTTTGGTATAACCAGTGTAGGGCTGAAGTACTTCAAATGATCGTGATGTGGCATCCGGCATTTTATTGCCGAGGTAAAACACGTTCCAATTATCTTTGCCGTATCCAAAGCCAAGATCTTGAAATGAACGTGCTGATGCATCAACAACTTTACGATTGTTGAAGAAGACATTCCACTGGTCTTTCATGTAGCCTATACGAATTCGGTCAAAGCCATAAAAGTCTTTTCGATGAAATGGAATAGTTCCGCCATTGCTGGTGACAATACATAAGAAGATAAAGAGAAGAGAACTATGTCGATTCATCTTTGCCGCGAAGAAGACTGCAAAGAAGAAAAAGAATATCAATATTTTACCAATCATCGATAAAAGAAAACGTCAGTATAAATATTAAGCCAGGGTCTAGTGTGAAGGAAAGAAGAATAACTTTTTATTTGACCAATCGAACTGAGACGTGTGCAAAACAGTTTTTTTTTCTATTACTATTTTTATTTGATGGCAAATATTCATTAATTTTTAGCTTCATAACATGTCTGAATTTAATTGGAGATGAATGATTTTGTATATGGATTGTTATGTTTGGAGAAAGAAAAAGAGTGTACACCATTAAGGCAAGTATTGCTTCAAACTACGTGTAATTGCAAGACATGGTCGACACAATAGTGCATCAAAATATGATAAATGATTACAGTCTTATGCCACCGTGTCTTCTACTGAATAGCTATCTGCGCTCCATGTTTGTTACATGCCGAAGCAACCATTGTCGCTAACGGAATATTTCTTCGATTGTCACCTCTATCAATCCTCAAACTTGCAGTTGAAATAAAAAGAAATATTAATTTTATTTGAAAAAGTAAAAAAGAAATAAATTCAAAAGCATTTTTCAAGTTTAATGTCGAGAGCTTCTGGTTGACGAACGAGATGTAAGTCAAGATTTTAAATTTTTGTTCCATTTCATCACTAGACAAGATGATGTGTTGACGAAGAAGACGAGGGAAAGATAATTTGATTTCCATTGGCTCAAATCACATTCTAACTTAATTACGTAGACCTTAACCAAATGGTATGTAGGCCATTAGATGTCGCCGAGTGAAATATCGTTTAGGTATAAATAAATTTGGATCATGAAAACTCCATAAGTTCGAATCATAATGTAGTGAAAACATATCCAGTTAAATGATGCTTCCTAAATAGTATGTTGTATTCAAATGAAAGATATTCTTTCAAAGAGTAATGAGAAACATTCGTAAAACTTCTTGTATCAACGAATCTAGATAGATCAAATTATGAACTTGATCATAGTACCTTTCGTTTTTGTCTTGATATTCATTGATTTCCGTACGAAGTTTTTCTTGCACGGTGGGATGTGTTGCCAAAGTATACGTACAATAAGTGAGTGCCGTCGATGTTGTTTCATAACCAGCAATCATAAACGCATGTACATTGCAGATAACTTCTTCATACTGAAGCTTTTTCGACTTAATATCGTTATTATCATCATCATCATCCTATATTGTATGTACGTTGAAAAATTGGTTACAATTTAAGAAGTAGATACATGAACTTTGATTTCACTTGATGTAGCAGTAAACAGGGGTGTGGGTGGGTGTGGAATTCACTTCACCCGCACTCACCCCCACATTCATATCCACACACATCCACACCACACCCACAACCGATTTCTTTTTCTTTTTAGATTTATTTCCGACATATCTGCTCGACGACGGTGTATGTTAAGTTTATGTTCCTGGGTGATTGTTACTTTAATACAGAGAAACTCTCATAATAAGCGAAATACAAACATGTTCGTGAAGGCCTGTTATACCTGTAGGTATGTACATGTATTACCTTACCGGTCGGCTATGTCCGTCGTATTTCAATTATTACAGAAAGTTTCTCTGTACGCGCGCGCGAGAATAATTACAAAATAGAAATAAATTAAGTAAGCGAAAAATTTTCTGATTTATTGATCGAAAAATACTTTACACTTTCTTTCTTACAAATTCTATACTCTCTCGCACATTTTTCATAATAAAATGATTTGCAGGTAATGTATGTTGCCAAATGTCAAGTGCAAGTTTATACAATGTAAGCGCTTTCAAGTAATTGCCCATATTTCTATACACCCATGCGATGTTGTTGTAAGAAGTGGCCAAATCAGGATGATTTGCAGGAAGATTTTTTTGGGAAATTTCAAGGTTTTTTTCGTAAAATAAAAGTGCTTTCGAATACTCTCCCATGTTTTTATATACTAGACCGATGTTGTTGTAGAAAGCAGCCAAATCAGAATGATTTGCAGGAAGAGTTTTTTGGCAGATTTCAAGGTGTTTTTCAAGAAACGAAAGTGCTTTCGAATAGTCTCTCATCTCTATATACACTAGACCAATTTTGTAGTAGGAAGTAGCCAAATCAGGATGATTTGCAGGAAGAGCTTGTTCACGAATTTCAAGTGCTTTTTTGTAAGATGGAAGTGCTTTCAAATACTCTCCCATGTCGTCATACGTCTCACCGATGTTGTAGTAGGAAATAGCCAATGAAGGATGATTTTCAGGAAGAGCTTTTTGACAAATTTCGCGTGCTTTTCCGTAGAGCGAAAGTGCTTCCGGATACTCTCCCATGCTTTTATACGCTAGACCGATATTGTTGTAGGAAATAGCCAATGAAGGATGATTTGCAGTAAGAGTTTTTTGGCGGATTTCAAGTGCTTTTTCGAAAAACGAAAGTGCTTTCGAATACTCTCCCATGTTTTGATGCATCCCACCGACGTTGTTGTAGAGAGTCGCTAAATCAGGATGATTTGCAGGAAGAGTTGTTTCACAAATTTTAAGTGCTTTTGTGTAAGATGAAAGTGCTTTCGAATACTCACTCATGTTGTCATACACCCCAGCGATGTTGCTGTAGGAAGTCGCCAAATCAGGATCATTTGCAGGAAGAGTTTTCTCGAAGATTTCACATGTTTTTTCGTAAAATGAAAGTGCTTTTAAATACTCTCCCATATTGTTATACACCAAACCGATGTTGTTGTAGGAAATAGCCAATGCACGATGATTTGCAGGAAGAATTTTTTGACGAATTTCAAGTCCTCTTTCATAATACCAAATAGCCTTCTTATAATCACCTTGATCATCCTTGACATATCCAAGTTGAGTATAATAAAGTGCTTTTTTACTCTCGTCGGATGTCTGTTCGAGCAATAATTCGTAGAGTTCTTCAGCTTTATCTAATTGGTTTATTTTGAGGAGCAAGCTACCTATTCGCTCCCATCCTGTCCCACCTGCTTGTTCTTGTATATGTTTGGTGAGTGTACGAAGTTGTTCATCATCATCCGATGTCAGTTTAAGTTCCACTTGATAAAGTGGATTGTTTTTATCAATTTGTATAATTTCGCCAATACGAAAGGCAGTGTGCATAGAGAAGAGGATTTCTTCTTCTGTTTTGAAATAACTAAATTCTTGGATGGCGGCGAAGGGAACAGATGATATGGAGGGATTAATTGTCATTTCAAAGAGAATACCGATCATCTCAGTTTTTGTTAAGGCAGCTTGAGCGAATTCAAGAGAAACCTCTCGTTTTTTACTGGTGGACAGAAAGTTGTTGAAGGACATCAGTCCACCTATTGTTTTACGAAGTTTCTCAAAATCTGTATTCGATAGACCTTGTCCTCGATAAACTGTAAAGGACTTCCCTTTGTGAGCACTAATCTGTTCCTTATGTAATTGTTCGATTTGATGGTGAAGTTCACGAATAAAAAAGCCCATATTAATGATGGTGTCCGACTCCAGCATACGTAAAGCACCGTTGAGCATAGAATAGATGAATGATGGGAAAGTATACCACCAGATTGGTGAGTGAGCATGGCATTCGTTCTCAAATCGAGTAATATTGGTTGATGACCCGTAGTTACCTTTCCTACAGTAATTAGCAAAATCCTTAATGGATTGTTCGTTATATTCCATTTCAAGCAGAATATCCTTTAATATTTGAGTATACATGAATGAGGGTTCCAGTTGATTTAAATCTTGACTAGAAGCTCCTTCACTTATCGGGACAAAACTCATGGAGATGGAATCTTGATTAAATTGCTTTACCGTCATTTGCAATGCTTCGCAAATAGGTGTAATTTCTATATGCACACCTTTCACCTTAACCCATTGTTGGGCCCATTGCTGATGAAGATTTTGATTGCCACAGAATATATAAATATCATTAAGGTGTGGAATATCATGGATAAGAGGCACTACTTGTTGACCAATTGTTCCCTCTACTATTAGGAAGACTTTGATATCATCAAGGTCAGTGAGAAAATCGATACATTTATCCGGGTCAGCAAAAATATTGACTTGGTTAACAATGCTTCTTAATTGTGCCAATGTGTTTTGTGAATCTTTGTTTGATTCGTGGATATTGGCATCGACCCAAATTAATAAGTAGTTCTGGACAATCCGCTCATGTGGATGGTTGTTATTAACTGCTGCTGCTTGTGTAGTTGTGTCAGCAGCTTTTGAGATAGTAGATGGTTGGCTTGCTTTTTTTGCGTTACCATATTCGCCAGTTACTATTGAGTTGTTTTGGTCCATCGTTTGTTTCATTGATATTGATGATATGAAATGGTTGAAAATTAGTTAATGAAAGAATAATCGAAATGCGTTCTTTTATAAGGTATGCACTTCCTTTCTATATTTTTCTCTCTGTCGTCATTCGTATTTTTTCTCTTGTCATTAGGGGTGGACCATTAACATTAATCTTAAATTAATGTTAATATTTTTCATTAACATTAATATTAATGTTAATGTTTTTCATTAATCATTAATATTAACGGTTAATGGTTTCCTTTAAAAACTTAATTTATTAATATTAATGATTAATGAAAACATTAACATTAATATTAATGTTAATGTTTTTTCATTAATCATTAATATTAATGTTAATGTTTTCATTAATCATTAATATTAATGAATTAAGTTTTTAGAGGAAAACATTAACCATTAATATTAATGATTAATGAAAAACATTAACATTAATATTAATGGTTAATGAAATACATTAATTAAGTCCTGTTAAATTAAATGGTCTACCCCTACTTGTCATTGAAGAAGACTACCTTTTTTTTTTGCTGTTGAATATGTTAATATGAAAAACAACGTGAGAGTGCAACATAGACATTCATTAGTAACGAACGAAGAACGAAGAAGAATGATGATGATGAGGTGATGTTACGGTTGACTAAAAATGAAATAAACCATAAAAAAAGAGTCATTATTTTCTGACGAATAAAGAAGCCTTACGAGTTTTTTTTCGTTCTTTTAAGAGCCATGCCTGTGCTGGAAAATTAAAAGATAAATTGTTTATATTACTATATACATTATAAATCGCACATATCGATAACATTGTAGTATTGAACTAGTAATACTCAGGGTTTTTTTCATAGTGAAATAATAAATGAAGATTTATACGACAATGGTCAGAAAAGACTCATGATCATTCTATACTTAATCCTTTCAATTCCGACATTTTCTTGCATTCTGCACAAGCACGAAAAAAAAGAAAAATTCTCTCTCTCTCTTGCATTCTGTCGTCACAATCAGCTGTGTTTGAAATCTAGAGTTATTACTGCTAGGTATAAGAACAGATAAGAACTTGTTATTGAAAAAAAAGATCACGCGTGATGAAAAGATTGAATTTGAAATGACTAGTATCTTGAATAAACTAAGCTGCTATAAAACAAAAAAAAGTAAATCATTTTCTATTGGGCAGTCAAAATGTCATCCAACAAGGAAAATATTATCGAACAAGATGACGAAACAGACAAGCACATGAAAGCTCTTGAGGATTCCGACGTTGATGATATTGAAGAAGAGTTGAAAGTATGTTGTGTTGAAAGTGAAGAATACAGGTGGTGAATAGAATGTTCTACATAAGAATTCACGAATAATATTATATTATAGTGATGCTGATACAATATATCAATCGAGGGTGTGTGGGTGTGGGTGTAGGTGTGGATGTAGATGTGGGTGTGTGTCGATGTCTATCTTCTTTCATTAACACCCACGCTTACACCCAGCCACCCATACCCATACACTTCACTGAATGAGAAACGAGTGAAGTTCGTTTTTTCTCTTTATATGACATTTTTGAAAGAATGTTCTACAATCGAAATTCGACCAACTCGAATGATTTGAAACCTAAGAAAAAAACTTCGATCTTTTCATTTGATTCGAACATTGTTCAATCTTTTCAAACTATTTGAAGGATTTGTTTTTCATATGATTGAAATCGAGAAAAGAATGCTTTTAACTGCAGGATGAACACTGTCAAATATCTAGGCTTGTTGATTAGTCAAATAATTGATCAAATGTGGAAAACATTGAATCTATCGAATTATTGAATCAATACATCGAATGTTCAATAACGAAATATTTATCGAGCAGATGGAAGTTGAAAGAGAATCGATCGTATGGAAAGAATATCCTCACTATGTCATTGCTATCTCTATTCGATTGAACGATCTGATTTTATCTCGATTGATGATTGTGCATCATCAAAGTGAACTTTTATGCCAATCTCGATGTGTTTCTTCATGATCGATTGGAAAAAAAAAACTTCGTTTATCTCATGTTTCATTGATTAGTCTTCGCCAATTTTGATCCATCGTTTTCACGTTAATCGACTGAGATTGAATCCTTTCGAAACGATTGTTGTTGAAGTTTCATCGAGTTCTTCTGGTTCCTTACTTTCAAGTTTTTTCGACGAGATCATCATATTCAACTCAAATTGATCAAAATTTCATTCGAAATTTATCGAATGTTGAACAATCGAAAGACTTCTGGAGAAATTTTCTTATAGAATCCCACGACTTTTCGCTAATATTTGATTTGCGATTAACATGGATCGAAAATGATTAGTTTAGATAAACCAAAACGGTTGGGCTATCTTTCAGCTGTAAAAGTGTACGATGTCACGATCAGGACAGGGATGCAAAAGTTCGTTGCGTTTGAACATGTTAATTGAATAGAAAACCAGAAAACAATACTTCTGAGATGTAAAATAACGTCGACGAACGCTAGTATCACAATACTCTATTTTTGACATTGAAATAAATATTATTTTTTGTTGTTGGGAGATCTTGCCAAAATCTCGGTTTGTTTCAAAGATGTTATTCAAGAATCAACAAAACACAGTTGTTTATTTCTCGACTAACAATTTGCAGATTTTTCGGCATATTTGAAGTGCAAAACAGCGAATTGACTACTAAACCTTCAGTTTTAGTGGATTATTAGAATTTAGGAAAAAAAAGTGAATAAAAACTTGAATCACTACAGCAAGATATTCTTTGATTGATTTTTCGAGTAAAATGCTAATGCATAATGCACTGGTATGAAACTAAATGTCCTTCTCTTCCTTCTCCAAACAATCACAAAAATATCACTGGACATAGCGACATGCTTTGCGACACATTCCTTCGGTGGAATTTTGACTTGCCGGACATATGAGTTTCGCTTCATAACGCAACCAAGATCCAAAAATATTTCCTGCAAAATGAGCACTCAAGGTAAGGAGAATCAAAAAAATTCCAAAAAGACTTTTTTCACGCTACCTCTGTTGTCTAACGCTCAATATCATCAGTACTTCGTCATCAATTAGATGTAACATGCCACTCATTTCTCTAGATCACGCGCAATTTATTTCTGTTTGAATTATTCTGTGTCAACACAGAGTTGTTGAAATGAGTTTGCAGTCATCGAAGCTTATCTAGTTCTACAGCGACTCTTCTCATACGGCGTCAAATTATTGCTGAAAATACGTCATTTATTTTTTTTTTGTCTACGTGCTGATGAATCCATTTTTCTATTACTTCCTATGTGTCTAATGTAATAGATACAAACTGGCGCATTATCATAGTCAGTTTTGTTGAATGTTTTCTTTGGGATCACTCACGTACACAAAACAAAGAATGAAGGCAAACGGGATCATACAAGAATAGAAACATATTCGCTAATTCAACATCATCATTTACAAGAGGAAAGTTTCATCATATAAACGAGTTGGTCAATAATGTTGCGACGACATTCAATCAATGTCAGTCCTATGCGAAGAGCCAATCGTAAAAATAACACTAAACGAATAGAAACAAACGGTCGTGAATGGATCAAGTTGTGTTTGTCTGCATCAGTCCCATTAATGATTGGTATATTTACTATAGTCACTACAATTCAACAGCAAAAACTGTCAACACAACAGCATGAACAAGAAAAGCAAGATGCATTTCTGTTTAGACAACATTCAGACCATCAAGCGGACAATTTACGAAAAGAAAGCATATTTTCTGCCTACCTTGATGATGTGTCAAAATTGTTAATGTTGGAAAATGCAACAAAAAGTTTATTACATATTCGTATGAAAACATTGACTAGTCTTAGACAGCTCGACCCAGAACGAAAAAATCATTTACTCCTGTTTCTTTATGAGAATCAACTGGTATATAAAGAACAAAAGAAAGCAATTTCATCGTTATTGAAAGTTAACGGGGCTGATTTCAATGGAATCCATTTCCAGGGAACCAAACAAGCTCAATGCTCATTTCAAGAACTTCATTTGCAGGGTGCTCAGTTATCGAATTCATCATTTATTAACTGTTTACTTTGGAATTCCAACTTTACCAAGTCAATTATGTATAACACCATGTTTTGCAATACAGAGCTAAGAGGATCATCATTCAACCTAGCTTCGCTGGATAAATCAAATTTTAGTGGAGCATATATGACTAATGTGAAATTCGTTGGAGCTTCGTTGATTGAATGTGATTTCACTGGAGCCTGGTGGACTCGTGACAAGATGGATTTTACGAACGCTAATTTAACAGGGGCACTTTTATCGAATGAACACTTGCGTAATTCGACGCTATATAACTCTATTTTACCCAATGGAACCTGGGGACCTATTCAAACTGCAAATTTGGTTAGAAATGGTGATGTTGAACAAAATGTAAGCCTGAACTTCAGAATGAGAAAACTAAAAATTTTCTGTATAACAACTCTTTCCCGTTTCTCAAATTAAGCGAACGAGTTATTCGCTGGTTTTTAAAATCATTTTCAATGGAATTCATATGTAGTCTGCAAAACTTCGGAATTTTTCTATTTTCCATTTTTTTATAATCTACCATGCCACAGTTATCGTCTTCACTAGAGTTCTTCAAAGGTTTGCAAGCATTTTAAGCCTTTTCTAGTTTTTAAATAACATTCGACCAAAGCTTCTTTGTTACTTAACAAGTGTAAAATACTCACGAGATGACCATCGGATGAATACGCAGAGATTGCTTATCTTTTGTATATTGTTGTATATTCGTTGTGATGTTGCTCACTGATCTTTTTTCTTAGTGCACAACAAATGATGCTATCAACATTACTGGTCGGATTGTTTCTCTTGAAGAAGAAATCAAAGTAATGGCCTATAAGAATGAGGATATTACAGAACAATTCGGCAAATGTTATTTCCGAGTGATTTCATTCTTTAATTCCAAGATAGCTGCATCTGTAAGTCAAGTCATTGATCTTAGTACATTCTCTTTGTTGATTTCTAATGGCACTGCTCGCTTCAGCGCATCGGTCAACTTCCGGTGTTCTGGTAACCATTACGGCTACATTGAGCTATTTTTGTGAACTCGAACGGCTTACGCTACAATCCTATTTCAAATGGTAAATATAGCAAATATTAATTCCTATTTGTTGACGATTTTTATTTTTTATTTTTAGCTACCGTTGGCGAAAGAAAGTGGCAATCTCTTCGATTGTTCGGAATAGTTTATCCTGACGTTCGCAGCGTTTTTATTAAAATTGGACTTGCCAAAACAAAACTTGATAATAACAACGGCATGAACATAACTATCGAAGAAAACTTTTGTGCTTGTGATAATGTTAAATTTTCTATCATAAAATGATGCTGAGGGAAGTGACTTATGAACCTTTATATTTATTAACAAATGATTAAATTGTAATCAGTGACATTTGATTGTTGTCTGTTCACACTACTTGCGGATGTGGGTATGGGTTTCGAGGAAGAATATACCCACACTCACACCCACACTCGCACCCACACCCACACTTACACCCACATCCATACCTACACTCAGACCCACACCCACACTTACACTCACATCCACACCTACATCTACACTCACACCCACACTCACTCACATCCCATGAATATGCGATACGCATCCGCATCCGTCTACTTAAATAGTTTCAAACAAAATTCTTTTATTGATTGATAGGAATCTCATGTGCACAATCGACAGCATCCGATAATTATGAATTGAAATGTAAAACTCACGTTAAAAGAGCGGCACAGAGCATAACGATAAAGAGGACAAATATTAATAAAAACAATTCAGGTTGATTTTGCAATGATTGTCCAAATAATTTGGCATCCCATTCTTGACGAAGAATACGTCGAGCAACTTGACATTCTCGAGCATTATATTCATTTCCACACATGATCATAAGCAATGCATCTGGATCATCTTCACATGTATAGTCAAAACCACGTTGTCGTACTAGATCTTCAAGAATAAGAAGACTTTTTTCACCACACTTTTCTCTAGAATTAACAATGAGATAAAATTCTCAAACAAGGAACGACTATCGACTTAATTGTTTACCTTATGGGAATATCAGGTGAATGTAAAAGAAGAACATTGACTCGAATTACATTAAATTGTTGATCACGTCTAAAGTTGGGTAATTCGAATTTGGCAAAAAACGAATCGGTACGAAATGCTAAATCAGTAGCATCACGACTGCCATTCAAAACGACATGAACTTCACCAGTGACCGATTCAGCAAACTGAAATAATCTGTTAATCATCTCCGTAGATATGAACATTATTCAAATACCGTTTTCGATGCCAATCCCCAAAATGCAACATCAGACCATGGGTTTTCTTCACAAGCTCCTGGACAATTAACGTAATCAAATCCAATCGAATCATTGGCTTTACCACACCTAATCAATTCTGATTCGATTTGATTCTAGATAGTTAGAAAATTTCTTACCACGTCAACTGATTTAACATCACTGCAGCCAGTGTATCCTCTAATGTTATGTAATTATGACCATTATTACTATAAATATGAGCGATCATATTGGTACCACTCCAAAACATTCCCTATTACAAGATGAGCATTGAAATGTGAAGATTATTACGTAGTTAACTTCTGCTACTTACTCGATCGATCGGTTTTATATCTTTCAGTGTGAGTTTGAAATATTCTTCATATGTACTCATATTGATTTCACAAAAAGGTTTGTATCGAACAGCTCTTTCGAATGCTTCATAAAGTTCCGTACAATCCTTCGTATTTCTACAACGAGAAAATATCGTTATTTTCTAACATATTATTCAATATTTACGTTTGATAATTGAAATATGGTCCACGATTTGTATATTGATATTGATAACAACGACCAATAATAATTTCTTTCAAACCACATGTTGTTCCATTTGTTCGGATATATGTTCCATTGCAAGGATTCATCTGCTGTACTTCTGTCGACTGTCTATTACCACGTTGATTCGAAGTCAAATGAGAGAGTTTAAATGGCATAGGTGGTTGAATTTTCGATTGTTGTCGACCATCAATGTCAACAATGATCGATAACAGAATAAACAACACTGGAATATACCATCGGTATATGTTTATTCTTCTGAATATTATAGATCTGTTCTTACCGGGCCAAAAACAACGTTGCATCAACATATTTGTCAAAACAAATACTGTTGCTATTTTACTTGTTGTATCACAATAGATAAGATATATGAAATGGAGACAATGAGATAGAAAAAAAAATCGAGAACTTTGTTCTTGTTTTAATACGCAAGCTATTCTAAGACAAGAATGAGCGTTTATCTTTTCTCTTCATATCTCTAAAATTTCTATCAGACAGTCACATCACTGAAGTAAGATTCATAGTATCGTTCAAGTCTTCTCTCAAGTCATCATTTTCTCGTTCAGCCACAGAAAAAAGAGAAAATGGTACTTCGATCCGTACTTCGCACGACATCCCGAGTGTCGTTTCCTCTTTGAGAGAATGTGTATTCTTACTTCTCTTGTTTGATGATCGATCATTAGCTTCTAGCACTTCTACTAACATGAAGCCACTTGAATTGACTTTCGACAACTTATAATGTTAATTCGTTTGGGTTTGTTTACTCACGGATGACATCTGTCAACCCTTTGATTTATTTAAAAGTAAAAAAAAACAAATGTCTATACTGAAAATATAATTAAATGTACAAAAAGTATTTTGAATATTTTCACGACGGATTCATATACAATACTTTTTACATCACCTTATCACTAGTCTAACGTAACCATGAAATAAACATACTTGATATTAGGTGAAATTGATAAGAATAGCACATCTTTCTCTTTGTAGATAAATATACACTCTAAGAGAAAATACCAAATATTGTCTTCAGCATGGTTGGTAAACAACTCTTTGTGCTTATTATTGCTGTATTCTCGATTACAGTTGATGCCAATTCAAATGAGTACTGTAAAGTTCAAAGTAGAACTTGAGATGAAGCTATCGCTATAGCCAAATCATTTGTCGCAAAATTAACATTAGAAGAAAAGTGTGCAACGACATCTCGTATTAAAGTTGCATGTGTTGACAATGTTTTACCTATTCATCGTCTCAATTTTAATGGTCTCTGTTTCCAAGACGCACCATCTAGTGTTGATGATAGTGTTCAATGTGCAACTGCTTTTCCACCTGATATACAAATTGCAGCTACTTAAGTTCGAGATCTATTCTTTTAACGTGCTGTTGCAATAGGAAAAGAATTTCAAGGCAAACGAGTTCATTTCGCTTTGGGTCCAATGGAGAAAAGGTAATAATAGTGTTTCATCACAATATCAACAACATTGAACAAGATCTTATACTAATGTTAATGCTTAGAAACTTTATGAGCCTGTCTATGAAATAATATTTGGTTGTTAAAATACTGGTAAAGTAAATGATTCTGAAGTATTTCAATTTTATCTTGCATTTCCAGCTGAAGCCGAAAAACCACCAAAAGTATTACGAGGTTTCGAAAGAGTATATTTAGCAGCAAGTGAATCCAAACAGATATCGTTAGTATTAATACAAAAGGATATTTCATATTGGAATATTGTTAGTCAAAAGTGGACTGTGGCTTGTGGTACCTATACAGTATGGATTTCAACATCTACTAATAATACTGATATTAAACTTCAAAGTTCTTTTAATATCTGATTATGTTTTGAGGAGAAATAAATAGCATTCGATGAACATTCATATATAGACTCTGGTAATATATAATTATTGATTTTGCTTTTTATTGAATAAATTTCAGGAATTTACTATTAAACTCGCAAGATAAGGTAAATCGAGTTTAAATTGATCAACTATAAGCTGTTGGTGGATAGTTTTCGAAGTGTATCGAGATCTCTGTCAGCATTTGGCGTGCTTCTCGAGCAAATATTTGCCGATTTAGTTTCTGTTAACCACATTTGCCATCGTGCACCCACTGGAATGGCGCCGAAACCACACATTGATCCTTACAAGTTTGTACAGACGATAATTTGTGCACCAGCCACTGTGCCCTGCATGATAAAAAATCACGTTTAATACAAAAATTTCATTTGTTTTTTACTCACTTTGAATGCCTCTTCCACTTCCATGGTCATATCGGCATAGCCCATGAATGGATTCGATTGTGTTATATTTGTAGCAACTACATGTCCAATAAAAATAATCGGTGTTCGAGCAAAACTATTACTTAATGATGGTGGAAATATGCATGAACAACAAATCGTTGATCCAACAAGTCCGAAGAGCAGCAGAAATAAAAGAAATATTTAGCTATTCAGTGATAAGAGCGAATGTAGGTATGTAGAATAATTAAGACAGCACGGCGAAGAATAAAGCACACAACGCATTTTCATCGCAGCGGTGTTATGTGAATCCGAGTAGCACAGCAATGAGTCGAGTAAATATTTGCGCAGAATATTGAATGATAATGTCCGTAAATAACATATTTATTGATAGAGGCTCCGTTTAGAAAGTTGGAGTCGACGAAGAAACCAATTTTCGTTCGAAGGTACATACAACAATTCAAAAGAAATGGTGGAGATATTTTAATTCCTTACAAAAAGCCTTAAAAAACTTTCTCTATATATTGTTTGATAGTAAAAACAATGCTCTATTTTCCTATGCTATTTGATCATTCTTCAATTAATATCATAACAAGAAATATTCGATAAGGTCTGTTTCGTTATCATATGTGCTGATTGTATTAGATTATATTTTCTCTTCAATGTGTATCCTTTTCTTATTATTTTCTTTATTCTTCTCCTCTTTTTTTTTCTCGTCTCCTACAATCATCAGGAGTTCATGACGTAAATCAATTATAAAAAAATTCAGACTTATATCAATTCTGACGACGGAACATCCCCAACTGTCAAAGCACTTTTCCCATGAGACTATTGTCATTGGACATGGGTGTGGGTTTCGAAAAAGAATATATCCACACCCTGTTGATATATTAGCAGATATAGAATCAATATTAACTTCTGATCATCAATTTTTATTAGGGAATTGGATTCGAGATGCATTACAATTTGCATAAACTGAAGAAAATATTCATTTTTATAATTTTAATGTGAAACTTCAAGTATGTATTTGGAGAAAGAATTATACATTAGATTTATATGATTATGCAAATAAATTTTGGTCAGGATTGATTCAAAAATATCTTGTCAAATACGACATTAATAATTTTATTTTGATTTTCATTTGCTACTTTTTTTTTACTTTTAAAGTTATTATGCTCAACGACGGAATTTGTTCTTTGATGTTGCGCTATTAAATGTCTTATTGAAGTATTATATTGATTAATTAGTTTTAATAATATTAAATCATTTTAGAATCATCCAATAGCTTCAAATATGTTGGATGAACGTTTATTTCACGAAGCTGAGTTCCTATTTTTTATTTTGAACATGAAAAATTATACAACTGATACATAAGGTATATGATTTTTTAAATCGATCTGATAAAATTATTTTGGTTTTTCATTAATAGATGATTCAATAATGATTGCTCATCAATTATTTAATAGATATTATTCATCTCTAGATGATATATATTTGAAAGAAAAATCTACAAGAAAAATATTTTCATTTAGATATCATTTTTAATTAAAATATATTTGATAGAAATCGAAATTTTGCGAATTGAATTGATATGAAGAAGGGTGTAGGTATGGATGTTAATCTTTTATTGAACTACATCCGCACCCAAAATGAAATTTCGTTTAATCCGAACGGGATAGTCGGAATACATGAACTAGTAAATAATTCTAAAATATAGTTCAATGTCAGACTTGGAGTATGAGAGTAGGAGTTGAGAAATAAATGCGCATATTCACATCTGCATTGTTCTATGTGAAGATTGGAGAAAGGAAGTATTAACGCTCGACTATTTCAAAATTGAAATTGAAAATGCCACAGAAAAGGTATAATTAAAACAGAGAGCAGATGTATGAATTCTGGTATCGCGAAATGTATTGCACATATATATTGAAATGCAATTAACATAATATTTCTACGGAATCTCTAAGGATAGAAATGTAACATACATCAGCGTCAATATATAATCAGAACTCTCATGAATAAAATTTAATCAAAAAATAAAAAAAAAGAAAGAATAAAGAAACTAAAACACTAGATCATTTTTCACTTGTAAATTGTAAACTGATTGCAAGGCCACTAGAAACATTTGATGACGAGTTCAACTATTTATTCGTCTTATCTATGGATAAATGACGTACGTCCAAGTGATGCTCGCGTAAAAAAATATCTAATTATATCCATATTTCATAATAAATAATTACTTTTTTTTTCCCTAGTCTTCATTAGAACTGGTTTCATCGAGCCGACTTTCCACTTCTCGTCTCACTACACCAGTTCAAGTCAAAGAGAACTTTAGTTCGATTCAATCAAAACATGGCAGAATAATGGTATTTTATTTTGAAATATTAGTTTAAGTTAAAAATATTTTTGTTTACTTCAAAATAGACGCCTTTATTTGAATCAGAAATGAACAATAATGGTCATTTAGAACAAATCATTGATCCACGCTTTCATATGCTAGCACAACGAAATAAAATATTTCCACGTTCGAAAGAAATCACGGCCACATCCTTATCAGATATGAAACTAAGTTCACAAGCACGGACAAGTCATGAAGATAAGATTCAGGTTCCAATCATCGAGTTAAAACAGTTTTCAAGATTATCTTTCATCAGCAAGTATGTTATAATCATTTTTGCTGTTATCAGAATTACTCTCTTATTTCTTAATAGAACTGGACGACAAATCTGCTCGGTCCGCTGCAGTATAATTGTTATTGCTGCACTTCTCTTTCTTCTATGTGCTTTGGCGATTGCTCTTTCATTAGGACTTGTTTATGGTCTGACTAACGACTCCAGTTTTTCAACATCAACAACATCTATTAATACAACAACTACCGTTACCGCAACAACAACAACAACAACTACAACAACAACTACAACAACAACAACAACAATTACAACAACAACAACAACTTCTACAACGACAACCACAACAAAGACAACAACATCAACAACCACCACTACTTCTTCAGCCACAGCTTGGATTCCAAGTAATTATGGTACGCCATGCTCGACCACATGCATTAATGTAACTACAGTAACTCCATCGACACTCATTGCATCATGGACATTCGAAGAAAACACAAACGATATATCGAACAACGGATATAATGGAGTCATTATAAATGGAGCTGCATTTTCTACAGGCTATATAGGTCAAGCAATTCTTCTTGCTACTTCTTTATCTCAGTATGTTGTTGTACCATATATTGATTTTACTTCGAAAAGTTTCGCTGTGGAAATGTGGATCTATTTATCCACATCGAGAACGACGGACATAAACTTTTTTGGCGAGTGTCAAAATACTACAGCTGATCGATGTCTTCATTACATCATTCGCAATTACAAATTATACATGGGCTTCTACGCGGACGATCTCGCCGGTGTAACAAATCTCACTACTGGTCGTTGGTATCATATAGCTTATATGTATGATGTTGCAACCAATAATCAATCAATATATTTGGATGGACTATTAGAAGGAAGCAGAGTAGCCAGTTCATCATATCTTGGTCAAAATGGTAATGTTACAAGTAAGTTATTTGACCTTTGTTTTCTTAATTTAAATCTAAATTTTGAATGTGTAGTTGGCAAAACGGGAATCCCTGCGGGGAACTGGTACGATGGATTTCTCGACCAAATAACTGTTACGAATCGAGCTAAAACATCATGTGAAATTCTTAATGATGCATCACTTGTCGCTTATTTTCCATTTGATAGTTCTCTTGTGGATATTGGACCCAATACAATGACTGCTACAATTACTAGACAGGCTAACAATGGTATGAGCTGGGCAACCGGTAAAGTCAATCAAGCGCTCAGTTTCAATAAGACAAACTCCTATTTTCAGTCATGTGGCTTTTGGGCTTTGGGTCAAAATCAAGCTTATACTATTGCTCTATGGATTAATCCATCGTTTCAAGCTGGTACACTCTTTCATTTATCGACAGCAACTACAGGGTCAGGTAGCTGGTGTCTACCAATGATTGGATTTAGTTCAAATGGATCGATTGTAAGTCAAACTTGGAATTATGGTGCTTTTGCTGTAATCGGACCCATACCCCCAATAAATTCATGGACTCACATTGTGCAAACATGGAGTTCGGCCAATGGATTACGATTATATATTAATGGAGGACTATATGACTCGGTAGCGGTCTCCGCATTCGCAGCTGGAAGTGCTTCAATGTGTGTGTTCCTAGGGAACAGTGGATTAGGAACTAACTGTCAAACGGGTCAGATTGTAATGGGTGCATACTCAGGAGCAATTGATGAATTTTATGTCTACAATCGTGAACTGTCTGCATCCGAAGTATGTCCTCTTGCTCATCCATGACATTATTCAGAAATTTGATATAGACTTAATATAATTTTTTTAATATTATCAATAATCTTGAGATCTGAGAATAAGATTTTTAAAGAAAAAAAATAGAAAATATGCGTCTTCTCTTGATTTACTTCCACAGCCTTATAATCACTTTTATTTTCAGTTGGGTGTAGGTGTGGATATGAATGTGAGTCTTTTCTTCACAATTGGTCGGATCATTTTCAGCAATAATTGAATCTTCATTTAAGATATGACGAACTTGGTAACGTATAAAAGGTTTAGTTATTATTATTATTATTATTATTATTATTGTTGTTGTTATTCATTTTGTTTACATATATATATATGAAGAAACTATTAGAAAAAAAAGAAATGTAATAATATATAATGTTGACTTTGTATCTAGTAGAGACACATCGATTCCAGTTCTTGGAACGGAATAGAGTTGAATGAGATTAAATTAAAAATGGTAGGACTCGATAGAAACTGAAATTAATTGTAAGTGATCTGAAAAAAATCACACCCCACATTATTGAATTCTGTGGAAAATATGCTCAAAATTAATGGTTTTATATAACCAATTCTGATCAACTTCAACTTTAACTTATTTTAAGCCTGTTAATCTTGATGGTGTGGATATGGGTGTGGGTGGGGATGGGGGCAGACGTAGGTGTGGGTGTGAGTGTAGGTGTGGATCAAGTACAAACTGACACCACCACACACACCCTCTTTTCACATAAAATCCCACATATCTGCTGTCTTTTTGGAATATCTGATCACATATCAGAGTTGTGAGTCAAATAAAGAAAAAAACAAACATAGGATGCGACTTCTGCTTATGTAATAGAAAAGAATCAGATTAGTGCTTGTCCTAATAACTAGAAATATATGTTGTTCTTCTAAAAGAATAACGATGAAAATTATACATTTGTAAAGGTTGATAACAATTTTCTCTAATATTTTCAAAATAAATTACCAAAATCTAAGAATATTTCTAAAAAATAAAATATTAAAAAGCAGAAAAAAATAAAAACAACAGAAAAAAGCAGAATTTCTTTACTAAAAGTAGGAGAGGTAGCAGCACTGGTATGTTTTCAAGGGTGTTTGTGTTTTTGCCCTCATAGAAAAGAGTTCTCTATGGCAGACACTATCAACCTGCAAATACAGAAACTGAATTGTTATGGAGTCGATATTTTTGTGAATTGTTTTGAAATTTATTTGCGTCGTCCAGTGTATCTATGATAACATTGGCATCATTGTCTTTTTTTAAGGCATCTTTCGTCAAAAATAAATGTGTGAGATTGCATATGGTTTTTTTTTTATTGTATACTTTTATTCTAAAATTGATCGTTTACAAGTCATACAGAAGAAAAATGACACAATACTGATAAAGAGAAAAATAACTATTAGAATGAATGATAAGTCAAAGATTTGTCGATGACTAATGAAAAGCAAAAGAAATTTAAAGGAAAAAAAAGAGGAAATAAATGAAAATAGGGTTGTCAATAAACAACGACAGCCAACACAGAAAATCCATACAATTATTCTATTTCTCAATTTGTATGAATTATAAAATATATTATTTAGTACTACTATACATCTTTATTTCTAAATTTAATGTGAAATAAATTACAAAAACTCAATTAATAAGTTAATTTTGAGGTACAGTAGCCTGTTATGAGCAACATTGGTTGACTAATTTGAATAATTCTTTACGATAATATTTACTTGATAATGTATAAATAAAAAATGAAAATATTTTGTCAATAAAAATGAACAAAATAGCTGTGTTCAGAATACGATTTTCGATAGAAAGATGCATATCACTCTTAATAATCGATTGTGAAATATTCGAGTAGATCATCATTAGAAAAAGAGGTAATGAACAGATCAAGTACAGAGTTATTTGTGCAATAAGCATAAATAATACATCTTCATTAATTCCAGTCTTATTTCTGGTGGACATAAATGTACTCGTTCCTGTAATCTGTGTTATATTTAGTATAAGTTCTTGTCGAACAAATCAACAACAAGAATAATAATCGTTATAACAACTATTATTCGACGAGTCATAGGCATACTACTATAACTTTGCATAGTAGCATTGGGTGATGATGAGAAGAATCTATCAATACAACAACCAACCATACATCAACTAGAGAGATCAAGGAATGTATTATATAAATAGAGTTGAACTATATTTCATCAAACAATCTAAGTTTATAGATTATGGATATTTCACTCTAACAATTCAATCAACTTAGAAATTAAATGAAGTATTGAGATGAGTTGCGAAGAACTCGCTATTTTAAATATCATGAAGAAATTGTTTTTTGTTCGAACAAGTCCCCAACAAAAATTAATTATTGTTGAAAATTGTCAAAGATTAAGTGAAATAGTTGCTATAACAGGTGATGGTGTTAACGATTCTCCAGCATTAAAAAAAGCTGATATTGGCATTGCTATGGGTATTGCTGGATCAGATGTTAGTAAACAAATATCTGATATGATTTTATTAGATGATAATTTTTCATCAATAATAACTGGAATTGAAGAAGGAAGACTTTTTTTTGATAATTTAGAAAAAATCAATTTGTTATAAATTATCATCAAAAATTCCTGAATTAGTTCCTTTTCTTTTTTATATGATTGATTTTTCAAATTCCTTTACCACTTGGTACATTTTATTTTATTTTAATTTCATTTCATTTAAATGAATTTATTTAAAGTACTGTTGGTATAGTATGTATTAATTTAGGTATAGATATGTTTCCAGCAATATCATTAGCTTATGAAAAAGCTAAATCTGATATAATGGAAAGACTAACAAGAGATGCAAAACAAGAACATCTTGCTACTGATAAGTAAATGAATATTTATTTAAAAATAAAATATTTTTCTTTTTAATAGATTAATATCAATGAGTTATGGTCAATTGAAAATGATTTAAGCCGATGGGGAATTTATTTGTTTATACTGTTGTTATAGCTGAAAATAGCTTTTTTCCATCGCGCTTACGTGGATTAAGAAAATCTTAGGATTCAAAATCAACAAATGATTTTGAAGATTCTTATGGACACGAATGGATTTGTTTTCTTCAATTAATTTTCATTTTTAATTATTTAATTTAGTTTTATGAACAACGAAAAGCATTAGAAGATACATGTCATACAGCTTTCTTTGTCAATGTAGTTATTGTTTAGTGGACTGTTTTATTATGTTGCAAATCTTGACGAAATTCACTTTTTAAATAAGGAATGTCGTACGTTGTTTTATCTTTTATTTTGTTTTAATTCTTTTACTAATTTCATTTTTTTAAAGAAATCAAGTACTTAATATGAGTATTGTCTTCGAAACTCTTCTTGCGATACTTCTTTCCTGTTACTCCTTATATAAATCGTGATCTTATGATGTATCCATTGAAGTTAGTCGATTATGAATGGTGAAAATGGATAATTATACGATTTTCTAGTTCATTTATAGAGCAAGAAACATATTATTATGATTTTTCGATCATTCTGTTTAGAATGCTATTTTAGATTAATAAATGAGAAATTATTTTCTCTCAACATTCAATAAAAAAAAAGAAGAAAATCATTATTTGAATTTTTACATTTTTTTAAGAATAACTTCGCAAAAATCTTGGTAGTAACAAGTCAAAATAGTTCCATATCAGTCTTTAATGATTTATCGACTGTTAGTATGTTAACGATGTTGCTATTAATATATGATAGACATTATTCAACTGTTGAGAAACATATAGAGAAGATCATTTAGCTTTTCCATGAACAAAGGAAAACAAACTATTAGACTACACAAATAAAACAATTTTTAAAAAAGAAAAGCATAACTTAATTTTCTATTCCATAAAGAAAGAGTCAATATAAGAAGAAAAAAAAGATAAGACTTGTTTTTGGTATGAAGTTTTTTGAACATTTTTTTCTTTTCGATGATGAGAAATTTTTTTTCATCGTTGTCGTTTGTTTTATATATTTCGTTTCATTGATTCCGTGTGTGGAATCTATTGGAAATTTATATGGTACTTTAGATAGATCGGTTGTACACCGATCAAAACTAGAACTGTTGTGAAAATAATGTGCATCTTTTCAGAATTTAATCAACGACAATAAGAAATTCGCCTTATTTCTTATTCAGAGTCTATTCATTATTTGCTAGAATGATAATTTTTTAACAGTTAAACCAGTTGAATGAAGTATCTTGACTAATGAAATATTAAGTTACCATCAAATTGCTAAAATTGAAATGAAAATTAATCTACGGCGTATACTGATTGATTCAATATTTGGTAGAATGTTGAAAGTAGTCATCGAAAATTAGCACATATTGTTTTATTCAAATAATAAAGATGATTGAAGTTGTATGATAATAAATCTCAGATATAATGCATAGACAAAAATTAATAGATTTTTTTTTAACAATTTGCATTAATTTCTGTTTTTAGTGAAGTAAATACATGATTATTTTGATTTAAAACACAGATTCTAGATGGTAATATGAGGGTTAATTGACATAGTTTGATTTTTATATACACCGTACGAATGCCTATTGGCAAAGTTTTTTCAACTTTGTGTAAAAAATTCGAACAAATAGATAAAAAGATGATTAGACCTTTTGAGAAATATGAAGAGATCCATTCTATATGAGTCACTAATTATTTTTGGACGAAAGAAGAAATAAACGAAGGCAATGATATCATTGTACTCTCGTTTCATATACTATCGTTAACAAATGTCATTGACGGTAGTCATAATTTCTCTCATTCACAGGTTATCAATATCAAAATCGTTTTTTTCTCTCAGTTCTGTACACGTCACGAATTAGTAATTAATTTTTAACGCCTTGTCATTAATATTTTTCTTTTTCTTCCTCAGACGTTGTTATTTGTGCTCGACTATTAGTTTTTTATATATCAAGTAATATACACGATGCAATACCACGAAATGGCTCCAACTGGAACACGTCGTTTTCAAATTGAAGAACATCCAACTTCACTCCATCACAAGTTTTCTATTATGGACGAAGATGATAATTGTTTATATACTGTCAAATCAACATTCTTCGCTTTCGGTGATAAGCTTACATTATTAGATAGTCATGACTATGAATTATTCAAAATTCGACAAGAATTGAGACATATACATCTCACATTTAACATATACAATGCTGCGGCAAATGATTACAATGGCGATAACCAGTTAGCTAGAGTAACACAAGTCGGCTCTTCATTAAAACATATACTAGAGATAAAATCAATTTATGGTGATTATCTAATGAGGCGCAACGGAGGCATCACATGTAACGAATATACTTTGACCAAAGATGGTAACGCAGTTGCTGAAGTTAAACGAAAATTCCCAGCATTCGCCGAACGGTATACGGTCAATATTCATGACGATGTAAATGAGACAGATATTCCGTTCATATTGACTCTTGTCATTACACTTTGGTGTGCTCAACGATATCGCAGTCATGGAGGTGGTAGTTGATAAATATTACCTTTGGCTTTGAGATTGTCAACTGATAAATCATAACTTAAGGTTTTTTCTTAACTATTTTTTGTAACCTCAATCTCATGTTGTCTTTAAATAACTTTGAAATTCAAAATTGTCTACCGACAGCTGTAGTCTGCTTTTCTTCTCATATCACATATATAGTCTACGACAATTAAAATTATACTCTTTGATTTTTTTTGTTTTTTATTACTAGACGTTTTTTACCTATTAACCTATTATATAAAGGAAGAAAGCTCAGAACCCGCTGCGTCTTCTGGTATATTTACATTGAACATCAAATGCAATTTAAAGTATAAAAGGTGTATTGGAAGAAAAAGTAACATTTCTTTTTTTTCAAATTCTTCCATGTTATAGTTTTTTTTATTTCACATATATGTCGGCTTAAGTGAATGATAAAACCTTGATTTCTGTTTCGAAAAGATGTCCCGTGAAAAGCTCTACAAAAGCTGTATGATCAAATTTCTTTTTACCTGTTCTGATGGTTTTTCTTATGCACAAAATGAACAGCTTACATGTCAGTGTCACTTCTGATCATACTGGAAATGTTGGAAGACTTTCCTGTTCTGCATATATGTGTCAGGCAAATTTGGTATTCAGGCAGAATTGAATTAAAGATAGAATTTTTTTTTCGAAAATATTACATATGATTTTGCCTAGTCAAAATTAGCTCTGTGCATAACTGAGATTAAAGAAAAAATTGATATGGAAGCTTCGGCATTCTTCATCACCTTTTTTAATTACTTTAGTATTAAATGAAAAAATTATTTTGAGTTTGTTTGAATATAAATGTGGAAGACCAGTTTGGAATCTAGTTGAGATTGAAATTGCTACTTTTGATTTTGCAAAAAAAGATATTTTTTTATAAAGATATAAGTCTATTTGTTTATTCAAAATTTAACGTTTTTTTAGTTTATTCAATAACAAAGATATAAGACGCTCAGCATTTTTTTATGTGATAATAAATTAGTAATTTTTTTGATACTGGGGAGATGGAGACATTGATGATTGGTGAAATTTATATATGAGTAAATGCATTTTTGTTTACAGTGAATTTGTTTTTTTTCTACGATGATGGGAAGATAGGGATATTGATGATTGGTGACATTTTATTATGAATAAATAATTTTTTATCTACAGTATCTGTACGCCCTGTTTTGACGAAAATGAATTGACGTGGGGTGATTGTATAAAAGAATCGAACGTTTCTCGAGCAACCGATGAAAATGGGTTGAGAGGTACATCTTCAGAATACGCACACTCCTTCACCTTCATTCTTTGTCGTACCAACCAATGTGTGCATAGGGTGTGTATTCTGAAGAAGAACCAGTTGAGATGGGGTGACTGTCTAAAAGAAAGGAAATTTTCTACGACATGCTGTGGCTTGTCTGATAAACATAGTAAATGTGTTCGTATAAAAGAACAGGTTTAACTTCTTTAACATCACATAAAAGTTGATGACCAGCGATAAGACGAAGCGTGAACGTTTGTTTGCATCGTTGAGAGAAACGACCGAAAACCTTTTCACTAGATAGCTTGTTCTGAAGTACATTGATTATTTTTTTGCTTTGAACACAAATGATAACAGCTTTATTACGAATTCAGGATTTAATGCATCAACATGTTTTTTTGTAGCAAGTTCATAAAATTTTTCACGTGCAAATTTGATAATAGGATGAGAATAAGTAGATTGTTGTAACGTCATTGTTGATATTGTAAAAGAAAATATCGAAGGCTATTTAACACTCTATGAACTTTGTTTATGAAAATGAAAGAAATTGGTAGTTAGATGATATAAAATAATCAGGAACAGAGAACGAATTCTGCCTAGTCAATATTGAATTTGATAGAAGCGCTAAAAAAAAACTCAATTTTGCCTGCAACATATATATATATCTTGACTTGGAAAAATGATGAGATATTGAATTTTCTCGTAAAAGATGTACCGTCGAAAGCTCTACAAAATTTGTCTAGACCAAATCCTGTAGTGAAACAGAAAAGTCTTTGAAGTATTTTCAGAAATGATGGGTAGCGACACTGCCATGTAAGTTGTTCATTTTGAGTATAAGAAAAACCATCAGAACAGGTAAAAAGAAATTCAATCAGACAACTTTTGTAGGGCTTATCACAGTGCATCTTTTGGGAAAAAAATTCAAGGTTTTATCATTTGTCTAAGCCCAGATATATATCAAATAAAAAAATGTTACAATATTATGGACACTAGGTATTTGGAAAAATGTGGAAAAAAAAGAAATGTCACTTTTTCTTCCAATACACTTTTTATACTTTAAACTGCATTTGATGTTCAATGTAAATATATTAAAAAATGTAGTGTGTCCTAGGCTTTCTTCCCATATATAGTAGATTAATAGATAAAAAGCGTTTAGTAATAAAAAACAAAAAATACCAAAGAGTATAATTTCAATTGTCGCGAACTGTACATGCGGTTCAAACACTGGCTTCTACCTGACACTACGGCGAAGTAAATCAATAGTCAGAGGATCGCAAATTTGTACAACCAATGATTTTTCAAGACACGATCCAATTTCAGTAACATTGGAAGGAAGTAATCAGTCTGGGACGAATCTCACTTTCAGTGTGAGCTGGACTCTTATATACAATGGATCCAGTGGTTTTGATGACCATCAAGGTAGATACACATGTGGAGGAATAAAATCTTTTTCCAACTTGATTCAATATACAAGCTATCGATTTCTTGTGACTGACAAGCGTTCGTCGGACAACTCTGCAATATTTTGAAGTGAAATTATTCGGATATTAAATTTGATTCGTAATCACTGTGAAATATTATACGAGAAAACCAACTATGGACATGTATTGCAATTAGAATACTCATTTTCTCTGCTTTTTCTTCAAACTAATCATTGTTCTACATTTATTCTTCAATTTTATTATTTTTTTTTGTCTAATTTTGAAATTGGCTTCTAATTCATTTTTGTGTTGTTTGGGTGTGAGTGTTGGCGTGGGTACGTGTGCCAAGTGGCTCGTCACATTCGAATGACGTTATATTATTGTCTTGGATGACACAACTCAAGTATATTGTGTAACTACTGAAAAGGTCGATGTGTGTCATAAATCATATCATTCATACGATATGATCTTTCTGTGAACTACTATTTCTTAATGTTCTCTCTGTTTTCTTCTCTATTCTAAATGATTATATCGTGTCCTCTTCCTTATTCTGTCTCTGCTATATACTTGCACCAACCGGCACACTGCATGCCACCATTGTATTATATAACCCTTGTAGGATGTCATCCTTGTAAGAGGTCAATGTTGTAACTTACCATCCTACTGCAATATAGCTCTTGTATAATGTAACCTTCGTAATGAAAGGACTCTTGTCCTCATTCTGATTGTAATTTCTTTCTTATTCTCTCTCTTCCTTATTTTCTCTCTAGTATATAACCTCATGTTCTATGTAAGATAGTTACATTTGAATGTAGTTCACAACCGAATGAACATCAAACCAAATAAGACTAAAGGCATATGTGCTTCTCCACTTGTCATTAACGGAAATATTTTCCGTTACAGTGTGCGTGTGAGTGAGAAAATCATCGATGCTCACACACGCACATTCATACCCACTATCCACACCCAACACATACTTTACTTGACAGATAGAAAATGATTCGAATAATTGTTTACAATAACAACAAAATTTATCATATTTACCATTAAATAAAACATTACAGCGGTGTAGTTCAATTTCATCTAGTAAGTTTAATTTTTGTTCAATAAACGTTTGTAAAACTCGCATATACATCTTCAGAAAAACAACAAATATATGAATTAAACACACAAATAGTCAATATAATGAATGATTGATAAAAACAAGATAAAAAGCATATTCCGCAAAAATTTTGTTTTATACATCTCAAGTGGTTGCGATATAAAATAAAGGCATTAATATAATGCACATCAAACTTGACTCGAGAAGAAAAAAATAACGTAGAAGGAACAAACAGTTCGTCACAGATAGGAAAAAAAATGCACGAACACAGGAATAAGTCGAACTGAAAGCGAATATTCGCATATAAAATCGAAAGAACAATAAAATTCACGTCAACCTGATTATTATACGTCTTTATTCGATGATGATAATACATGAACTTTGTTTTTTTGAAGATTATTATAATACCAAAAACAAACAAAAAGCAAGAATGTACTTTTACCAAGCATCTGTATATCGTATATCCCATGTTGTTAAAGCTGGCAGTTCTTCCTAGAATAATCCAGTCATTTTATTCGAATACAATATTTATATCTTCAAATTCATACTTTTAAAGTTTCAAATGTTAACGAAGATAAACTTGTTGAAGTTAACCTAAGTACTTGTAACATTTTCATGCCTTAATATTCAGATCAACATTAAATAAAACATGGAAAAAAACAAAAATCATAAACTTACGTGCTAAACAAACAAAACCTTTATTAGTTACTGGTGTTTCACTTAAATCGAGTACTTTTAATTGATGTAAATGTTCGGAAATTAATTCTAAACCATCGTCACCAAACTAAAGTAAATAATATTCAACAATAGTTTTTAATGAAAATTTTTGTTATTTAATTCACTCGTGTTGAAGATAAATCTAAATATCTTAAAGCTGGTAATTTAATTAAATGTTTGGCACAAGCGCTTGTGACATATGTGGATGCTAAATTTAAATATTCAAGATTACCAAATGGACCTCTTGATAGTAATCTTGCTAAATCATCATCAGTTGAATATGTTGGCAATATTAGTTCTCTTGGTCCACCTTTTCGTTGGAATATTCTTAATGCTCTCTTTCTTCTACATACTCCTACATACATGATTAAACCGGTGAATGTCGATTGGAGTGTTGATATTAATTGTAATTTATTATCATGATTTTCGACTGCATTGAATTCCAACATTGCGCATAAAGCCTAAATGAAATTTTTCTTTTATATTGAAAAAAAAATATTCAAAAATTTGATATTTACATCCAATGAACTTTGATTTTCACGTAAGGCAAGTAAGTTTAAAGCTGGTAATAATTTGTTAATACGTAATAAGAAATTTCTTTTACGACAACAACATGAAATTAATTTATTGAGCTGAAAAATTCAAATATAAAAAAAAGAAAATATACTATTGTATTAAAAATTTTTTTTACCATTAATGAAAACATTTCGCCATTATCATCACAAGCTATGCCACTCAAACAAAACATTTCAAACCATCCATCTTTACCTTCACGAATACCTAACACTCTCTGATGAACTTCACATCGTGTGTCTTCAACAAGATTTTTAAGAACATTTTTGAATATTCTATTTTAAATCAGTACAAATAATGTAGAAAATATTTCATGTAAAGATAAAAAGAAAATTATTACGCGATAAATAGATCATGTCTTAGTGCTTCAACTGGAAACGGAACGGGTTGTAGAACTAAACCAAGATGATGTCGCCAGTCGTAAAATGTGGATCTATATAAAAAGAAAAATTTAGTGTCATTTTGCGTATGATCGTTAAAGCAATTTTCTAAAACTATGTCCTTTATTGGAAATTAATAACTTGAGTAAGAATCTGTATGATAAACTATAATGAAGCAAAACTACACACACAGCACTTTCTGAAGTAAATTTCATTCATGAAAAAAAAAGTAAAGATACTACAAATTTTGCTTCTATGTAAACCCTTTACTACTATTGACCATATCTTATGCAAGAAGAAATTACAAAATAATTGCGTGGATATTGTAAGGTGAAAAGTAGTCTGTGTAGCAAATCTAGGTTTTAAAAAAAAAATCTATAAAACTTAATTCGAATTGAAAAATAACTTAACATAGTGATTATAAGAATTACGTCGCCTTTTTCTAAATTACTTATAAGGAATAAGAAAACCTATCAAATGGAAATTACATATGCATTATTTGTATTATGTCAAACTAGGAGAACTGCACTTGCTCAAATAAAAAGTACAATGCTTATAAGATTGTATACGGTAAAATACGACTTATTTAAGTCCCATATATGATCATAAATGGCTGTATACAGCACAACTACGGTAAAAAATACAGATAGCCATGATCATCATCTTGAGGTAAACTATTTAATATTAGATGCATTCTGCTGGTAGTAGCGGCCAAAAACACGACTATCAAACCCCGTTTATTTTTATACATCTTATCAGATGGCTACACTATCCTATCGTGACATACCCATAATTGTCCTCTGACCAACAATCTATTACTGTTACTAAGAATAAATCTGCATCATAGATGATTAAGATATAAGCTGTTTGATACAGAATGGTCTATGTATTTTATGCTTACATTGTTTGTAATATTTTTGTGTAACATACTAATTGAATTTCAGTTTCTTCTTTATATCCTCGACAAGTTTCATTATCTTCAAAGTGCCAGCTATTCAATACAAAAAGAAAATAATTTATATGAAAACAGAAAAGAAAAGCACATATTTACTTATTTCGACCTTGAAAAACATTATAAACTCCAGAAAGACAAACAGAGATCAAATTTGAGAGAACACGTAGAAATGGACAATCTATCGTTGGGCCATGCATTCTATGATAAATAGAAATAGTTCTTCATATAAATATAAATATATATAAATATATTTGATTACCGTTTAATAAACTCTTGTACAACATGTAAACCATCATTTTGAGAACTAAGTACAAGTAAATATTCTTGAACAAGTGTTCTCGATCGTGGATATTCACTAAAATCCTTAGAAAAAAAAATAATCATAATTGTGTTTTGGTTTTAAATTCTAATAATGAAATTATACTGTATTATGTTTTAAAATTTTCTCAATAGTCTGTGTAAACATTTGAATTACAATTTGAGAGCGTGGACTATCACGGCAATACTAAATCAAAACAAAGAACAGTGTTTTTTTCAAAAATATATGATGCATATATATATGTTATTCATACTCGACTAAAAAAATCACACATTTCTGGCGATGGATAATTTTTTTCAAGTAATGGTGCTAGTGTTTCAATCACATTTTTACGAAAAACATGCAGTAAATTAAATTCCTGCTGTAGAAAAACGATTGTAATACAAAGCAGAAAAACCTTAATTTTCTTTTTACTTCTTGCAGAATTTCGGAAATAATTTCAAGTGGAAAATGATGAACTTCAACATTCTCAATCGGAGTTGTCCTTACAAAATTGATCATATTCTAATTATAGGAAGAAAAAAAATAAAAGTATTATATCCATATTTTTAATTAAAAGATATTAAAAAGTAAACTACCGCAATTTCTTTTAATAATACTTCCTGACTATCAGCCGAACGTATAACACATTCAAATTTTAGTTTATTCATCTATTAAAATATAATATAATATAATAAAACTCAAAAAGAACATTAATAATAACGTACTTTCCATTGTATTGAATGGAACAATTGGTCTCTTAAATGAAGTGAATTAACCTAAAGCAAGGAAAACAAAAATATATTTTGTTGTCATTCAAATTTTTTTCTCAAAAAAAAAAAAAACAATATTGTTTTTTTGTTACTTGAAAAAAATAAATAAGATTTTTTGTAACAATTCTTATAGAAAATCGACGATGCCGATCAGTCACTTTGCATTTTGACCATACAGATATATCCTCAATAGCTGAATAAGCTATTGATCTGTCCATATATTTTTCATTCTACAGAAATGTAAATAAAAATTTTCCATTAACTATATATAAAACTATATAAAAACGAACTGTTGTTGAAGTTATTTCACGTTGTGCAAGATTAATATGATGATCTTCCCAACGATGAAAAAAACGTGAAAAACGTATTTTTTCTATAATATTTTTGGCATGACGTATGCAATATATTTGAACATG